CCTTTTTTCCAATTCTCCTCCCCATCCCAATGGGGGGCGCCGGGAGCAAGCTGTTGCAAGCAATTTCCCAAGTTGCTGGGGTTAAAACACAACAACCAGTTTTGCATTTCAGCCATTGGATAACTCTTATGTATTAGTGTGCTTTTCACAAAAAATTCAGCAGACTAATAAGCTGCCATACAGAAGCTTTATTTACAAAGTCCCCAAAGGGAGTCAATAAAGAAGAGAGCAATTATTGCCTATAGCTTTCCAATCATTACAGTATCCTGCATGGAGCCACTGAAACACTTACTCAGATTCTGTTGTCCAAGGCTCATACCAGGACTGCTGTTTGACCCAAAAAAACCCAAAGGTTTGGAAAGCAAGGCAGATGATGATCTGAGACAAAACGGAACACAGAAGTGGACCTGAGATAAGACCTGATGGAGGCCTTCGCGCAACAAGCTCCTTCCAAGCAGGGTTCAGACTCACTGCAAAGAGAAAGAAAAACAAATTACATATTACATCATTATGGTTTTCAAGAGTTTCCCTGTTCACATTCTGTGGGATTAGAATGGCTTGGTCAGGACATCACTTTAAAAATTACTCCAGAACTGCAAGTGTGAAACCACTTGAAAAAGATTATACCACATTAGAATAATGCCACAGTGCCTTTTACAGGCTGGTTACCCCCAGCAGCACAGGATAGCAGGGGACAATAATAATAGAAGCCATGAGACTTAAGGAATTTAGCAGTGTCTGGCCAAATTCCCTTTGTCTGGCACAAGGAACTACAGCTCATCTCCTCAGTTTTGGTCTGCCATTGCTTCAAAGAAACAGTTTCTATTAAACTGAAAATGGAATTCTACTGTTAGCCAGTAAACTAAGTGCTAGGTTCATATGTGGAATCAAATATTTCACTAGATAACAGTTTTCAAGTATAACACTTTGTGGACAGAAATTCAACTAAAAATGCAAGAAATCAGGACATGGGAAAAAGATAATATTGGAACAAGTCCTGTTTTGATTCCAAAACCAGTTTCCTCATGTCAGTCGATATTTATGACTTCCTGTACTGTGAAGAACTACTTTTCTAAGATCCTGCCCACAACCTGCTTTTTGTATGAGAACATTTCACAAACTTCAGATGAATTTAACTCCATACACAGTGGTTTGGTATTTTTAATGCATATACTGTAGTAGTTGTAACACCTTAACTGCATGTCACAGTGTTTATTCCGAACAGAATGTAATTAAAGAAAATTTGACCAAGCAAAAAGTGCTTGATGGAAGCCAGCAGCAGTAATTCAGCACAATACTTACTAGTGAAGACAACCACCAAAATGATTGCCAAATCGATGAAGAGAAACTGGAAATCTCCCAAATTGCTCAGGATCTAGACAGAAATCACAACTAAACATTGGTAATTTCTTCACACCACGAAACATCTTATAGTGACATTCCTACAGCATTAATTCTTTAAATTTCACTCTATAAACAAGACAGTCTCTTGTCAAAGTCTTCCTATGAAACTATTTCAGTTTCAAGATGCATAAGCTATTTGTAATTGAAATTTGTTTGTAATCAAACTTATATTACTGAATCTTACAAACGAATGAAATAATAGCTTAAGTCCACAGTTCTCTAAATATCATAACTTTACTAAGTAGTCATACAGTTGCCAAAATTTCCACCTCAAAGGTCCTTTAATGCTTTGCATGTTTAACTTACTCAGAACAGAAATTAAAATACAGGATTTCTATCACATGCTTTATTGTGAATCCAATCACATTAACAGGAAATATTCCACTTTGCTTTTTCCCCTCCTCCTAACTCAATACTTGCAAGCTGCTCTCTTTCAATCCTTACATAAAAGGAATGCAGTGACCTTTAAAGTTATGCTATTTTAAAATGCTGACAGTTTTTAAATAACTGAAAATTGTATTTTTGTTCAATTTACATGCTTATTTGGATTTCCCACCTTAGAGACTTTCTATTCGCAGGCATTAGTTACTGCCTTTTTTAAACAAATACTACCATGTTTTTCATACAGTTAATATAAAAAAGGCAAAAAATACTAACAATACTTTTAGTCCAAAGATGGTTTTTAGAATGTGGGTGTTGTGTATGCAAAGAGACTTGCAACTATTTATATTAAATATCTACCCATTTTCAAATCTCTGAATTACGCTGACACTGCTTAAGCACTTACAGAATACTTACAGAATATAGGAGAGTAACACTGATGTACTGGATAATGCTGTATAATGCCATGAACTTAAATACACAGAAGGAAGTTATTAAAGCAGCACGGCCTTCCCTGTCAAAACAAATGCAATCATGTAACTAGAAAGTTTTCTGTGCAAGCAGTTAAATTCTGCTTAGCAAAATGTTAGCTGCAATTAAACACATCAGCAAACTCTTTGAGGGACATTAGGTTGAAGACATACAGAGAAAAAGGTGTCAGAACGGTATCCTTTCAAGTACATCAAAGTTGTGAGCATGCCTTCTAAACTGAGCCACCACCTTACTTTGGAAAACCACATAAAGTCCAAAGAACACCAACAGATGTTTTAAAATGAAGGTTTGCTTGCAAAAGCATTTATGAAGCACTACTTTACTACACAGATTAAATGAACATGCAGTCAGCCACAGAGTTGCTGACTTCAGAAATGTTTCTGATTACGCATTACTTCATAAGTTCCACACAGACTTAATTAGATTCTTCTGTGGCTGACCTTTATCCAAAATTATTACCTAAGTTCCAATTTTAGAATCAAAAATTGGTCAAACCCTATTTCGAAAATTTGCTTTCTACTTTGTACGGTGCTGAGCAGTTACGTGAAGAATTTTACTGCTTGCAATTATACACAGCCTTTACGGAAACTAGCATAGTCACTAAGACACCAAATTAAATACTAACATGTAGAAGCTTGCTCACGCTCTAGAAAATTAAATTTACATGCACAAAAGGGTTTGTAACAAAATACTAAATCATGCTATGGCGAGCCTTTGCTCAGAGTACCTTCAGTAGAGAAATAGAACTAGTAAAAAAATATACGGTTTGTTCTTTAATTCAAACTGGCTTCCTACAGCATCAAACATACACTAATACAGGGTATGCGAAATGAGTTACATGGACACATTTAAGTTCACAGTAAGCAGCATTACCTGATCAGCTTTGGCACACAGGAAATACTAGGTGTCCTGGAAGTGAATGGTGATGCCACAGAAGCCTCAAGTTCAGACAAAGATATACCACCATGTGCCCTCTTCAGCGCCTGCCAGTTAACATTGAAATAGAGAACATTTTAAAACTTGCTTTCAGCCGTAAAATTTAACTGAGCAGAATAAATGAAGAATAAAAACATACTTACGCCACAGTCATTTGCTCCATCTCCACACATGCCCACATAGTAACTATAAAAATCAAAACAATGTCAGCATTTTGGACCATTCTCTAATCATAGTCCATTTAGCCTATTTCATTAAATAGTTCTATATTATCTGACTTATTCAGGCTTTGCATAATAATGAGTGATTGTTAATGCTGAAAGCAAATAGTGTTGCCGCTATACATATAAGGAAGTAAACAGAAAAGTAACATGACTTCACCAGGTCAATCAAACCAGTAACGGTTATCAGCCCTCTATCATTCCAAGGTAGTCTAAAGCATCTTTGCTCTAGGCAGAGACTTTTGTAGTAGTTTGTATAGCTGCAAGGCCTGACACCAACAGACAGTAGTATACAGACCACATGTGAATGGAAGTCATTCTGTTAATACTTCTTTAATACACAGAAGACATTTAATGGATTTGTTTATTAAGCCAAGTAACCAGATTTATAAAATATGTTAGTTTAGTTATTCATAACTTCATGAAAAGCCTGAAACTTTCACAACTAACCAGCAGATGGTACTACTCAAAAAAGCTAACAGGTTAATTTACCAACTCAAGGAAGTTATATTAGCCCAGCTTTTTCATTAGGCAAAACAGCTAGCAGCATACATAATTTTTTCCTCCTATCACACCAAACACTCTGTCAAAACCTCCTACTTTCTATGCTTCAGCAAATACTTACTCTACATTTTGCAAAGCTTCCACCAACTGAGTTTTCTGATCAGGTGCCATGCGAGCAAACACAGTGCCATGTAACACAAGCTGGAAGACAGAAGATTTCTTAATCCTCACAGGGCAAAGTCTGTTCCCCATCAAAAGTGCCCACACTCAAGTAAAATGCTCACCTTGGGTACCAGGTCCTGAAAATGCTCCAAAATCACTGCAAATGACTTTCCATTCATTGCAAAATGGTATTTGGTCATCTGGAGATCCTCAAGGCTTTCATGGACCAATTTAACTGGAATATCCTATCAAAAGTAGTTTAATACTCTAGCTGTAGTGTGTTTACCTACATACCTTGTAATTTCAAGTTAATACTCAGAGGAGTATTCCTAGAGATCCCACACTAGAGGAGGTTTCTAAGAATGTTACGTGAAAGAAAATCTCATACAATGAAAACATTTAAGTAATAAGAAAATGTGGTTTAATGTTTCAACTACAAGCAGCTAGAGCAGTCTTAACAGATTGAAATGTGGAAAAAATCTGCTCCCTGCACAAATAAAATGTCAAAAGTCATATCACAGTTGAAAAACTAGCTCCCCCAGCTGTTTTACTACTCTTTGTTATTTTAAGATCTGAAAGTTAACTAGTACTTCAATTCTGATTTGACACTCAACAGTGGATTTGCTATTTAATGGAATAAGATAAAAAGAAAGAAAGTCAACAGTAAAACTAACTGTTTATGCTCTATGGGTATAATAATGCTCATATTACCTCTGAGTTTATGGCTGGTGATGAACTAGTGCATTTTGCGAGGGTATCTGCATAATGCCAGTTGATCCTGGCAGCCTGCCCATCCTTTGGAGGTAGTGCTTCAGCAATAATGACCTTATCCTGAGGTAGAATCATTCCACAGTCTCTGGCCACAGAGATAGCAGTTAACATGTTATCCCCTGTTAAAGAATTTAATTTACAACAGTTTCAGTTAGAAAACAATCAATAGCATATGCTGATATTCCACATAAGAGAAAAAGCTAACAAAGCCAATTTCAAACTAGGAGGAGGACTGCCTAACATACCAGTGACAACCTTAGGGCAAGCCAAGGCTACAGACAAAATTCAAAGCCCGGCTCATTAAACCCCTACCCTGCACTAACATCACTAGAAACTCTGTATGCTTTTTTCAGCCTTAAAGATCTCTTTTTGACCAAATCTTAGCATATATTGAAAACCAGGCAGCAATCACGCAGCCATTTAAAATACCACTTTTTAAACATGGTCACAGAACAGGCTAGCAATACATTATTCCAAAGTTGCAACACCTGTGATTTAAAAAGTAAACACACATATTGCATGGAAAACACTGAGCACATAGCTAGCCTGCTTATAGGGACATAAGTAATTCTTACTTAAAAAAATCCAATACAAAGTGACTTATCATAATATAATTCAAAATGGTAGGGACCCTCAAGAGGTCATCTACTCCAAGCTCCTGCTCAAAGTAGGGTCTAATCATAAGATTAGACAGGACTTTCAACTAGTCTGATTTGGAAGACCTCTAAGGTTTTTCATCCTTCAATTCAGGATAAAGTAAGTTGTGCATGCAGCTAGGGAGAGAAAGCTATGAAGTAGAATTAATCCCCAATACTGGTTTCTGATCTCTGATTTACCAAAGCAACTTTCACGCAAAAAGAAACAGATCAGTGTCTGATTATTCTCACAATAGTCTCTAAACTTCCCTCTTGCTATAAATACAATGCAATCTCAGCCTATTGACACTAAAATTTGACTTCATGCACTATAATTAAAAGTAAGACCAAAAAGAGATGGATTTTTATCTTTTGAGTACAAACGTTTACATGCTAACCTGTAACCATGACAGTGCGAATGTTGGCTTTATGCAAATCTTCAAGTACAGCAGGGGTTTCTTGCTTTAGTTTGTTTTGCATTATAATTAACCCCATAAAATCCATGTTGCTTTCAATAGCATCTCTGTAGAAAAAGAGGCAAGGAAGAGAACATTAGAAGAACTACAATTATTAGATGTAGCTTGAAGAGCCTGATTTTCTGTTTATCAAAGGGAAATGTTTGGTTTTTAACCATGAAAAGTGAAGAATTTGCTTTATAAAGAGTCACCTGAGAGATACCATAATTCACAATAATTTATACTTATTTCCCTTGTTTAGTTGAAAATCAGCATGAGAAAATGTTTCCTCTCAAGCACAAATTTTAGTTTCTTCCTCAAGAACTCTTTCTAAAAGAAATTACATTCTCAAAAAGATTATTGCTAGGAAAAAACACTCTAACTGCATTCACAGCCAAATTTTAAGATTTGGTTAGAATGCACACCTCTAATTTCCAAATTAGCTGAACCTTAACATACAAACTACCAAATTATGTTACTATGGCTAGTAAGATTAACAGACTAATTAAGTAAAGCAACAAATTAACTTTGGTTTACATGAAAGTCAGTGTATTTACAGGTCTTGGGTATTTTACTGCTACTGTAGATTTTCACACCTGAAATTGGAAAACCTTTTTCTGTGCTTCGTACTGCTTTGCAAAAAGTTCATCTTGTACACAGAGCTGATCCAAAAGAACAGAGTCAAAGCTGGCATTTCTATAGCAATGCTACACTTTCAAACAGGATGGGAAAGATAGCATTATCCACAAAACTAAGACTAGCTGAAAAATAATTAACAGGAAATACTGCTCTTTGAAGGAAGAAACCTTTCCACATTCCAAACCTTTCTGACAAGCTTTGCAATAATAAAATGGACATGCTGCCTGTAGCAGATGAAGAAACTACATCAAACATGCACAGGAGGGTTCCTACTACATGCCATTATCTTTAACAGACACAGATGATGTAAGTACGTTCAAATAAAAAGGAAACTGGATGAGGTTTTCTGCCACATTAGCATAAATAAAACACCATAAAAAATTGATATTAAAGTTCATTTCAAGCATAAATATGTTCCTCAGAATTCACATTATTGCAGAAACACTTCCTTATCTTAAATTTCTATGTATTGTCCAGGGTACAAATAAAGAATGCACAGAACTACATATGTCAAGACAGAAAAAAAGCTAAAGAAGAGTAGTAATTGATTTAAACAAAAATAAACATTACATAATTAATCCAAAGCATGCAGCTTTTAAAGCCTGTTACTTATTAAAAAAGTGAAGTCACTCTTACCTATTAATAGTCTGGACTTTGTGCCATGTAAGCTTAGACTCCAATTTTCTGTGAGCAAGAGCAATAACTCGGAAGCCCTGCTTAGTGTATTCTTCCAGGACACACTCAAAGTCAACAGGAACTTTAAAAAGATCAAGTTTAGAGTTATTAAAATTATTCACATTACAGCTGAGCTACACAAGAAATGAAAATAGTTTGTTCCTTTACCTGTTTCCTGCTTGCACAAGCTGGCAATCACTTCAGGGGCACCCTTCATATAAGCATCCATTCTCTTCTCCCCTAGAACTCTTGCTATTACACACATACGTTGCAAAACTGAAGAAAATGGAAACTGGCGCACAATCCCAATTTCATAACTGGTCTGTGTCATACAGGAAGGAAGGAAGAAATGGGTTACCATCCACGTACATTCTAAGAAGAGGTACATGCTTAATTTAAAAAAGCATACTTACCGAAAGCTCAAACAATTCCTAAAACAAGAAAAATACATTTACTGTAAATATTAATTTTTAAGTATTTTTCAGCTACAAACTATTTCAACATAAATCAGTAAACTCTCAAAGTCGCATTGTATTTGCAATGGATTTTGTAAAAAGTGAATATGAATATACTGCATCTGTTTAATATCCTTTGCTTTAAGTGAGGCATAGTAGAACTTCAGAGCTTGATTTCTTGATTAGAGTTTGCAAGACCTTTCACAGTCCAACCTGTGTCTGTTTAGCCTACGTAAATGATTAAAGTACTATGGTATTTCAGAATAAGACCATGATTAAGTTTATCCTAAAAAAAAAAATTCATGTAGTAAGTTGAGACTGTTCCCATGTCAACTTCTGCACAGTAATTACTGCTGTGCATGTACAGAGTTCTGAACAAAAAAAAGACGCTTCTATCTACTACAGAGTAAGATTCATACAGAGGACCTAACTTGCTATACCCTCCTACTACCCTGCTCTGTGTATACAGTCGCATGCTTAAATTTCCCCTCCTGAAGTGTTAAAAAATACTTCAAAATGCAGATAGAAGAAAATTTTAAATCTGTCAAGTGCATTTTATTTTTAAGTCAGCACTTAATTAAAGCACGTATCTCTAAGGTACGATGGTGGCAAGAATTCAGTGCCATGCACGGACATTAACAAATGATTGTTTTAGCTGAAACTGCAAGGTGAGCACACCTAAGCACTTCATTAGCACAGTAAGAATTTGGTAATGATACTAATATTAAAACGTGTAAGCTCAAAAAGTATTACAGCACTACATGACCAGTCCATAAGGGTAATAATGCTCACAATCAGTCTGCTCACTTTGGAAGTGGCATATACTGAACCATTACCTTCATCAACAGTTTAAACATGTTTCCTCTATCTTTGCCATCAAAAAACATACAGTTTTGATCCTGTTTGAATTATATCAGCCAGAACCACAGCATACGGTAAATTGCATTTGTTTAACATGAAAGATTACTTTAACTCCAAGAACTGCTTTGAATTTTTATACCATTTCTTGATTTGTTGCTTGCTTGGATTCTGGTAAAAGCTGTTTTGAAGGTCGAACCACCGTCGGCATGATTCGATTATGAAGGGCTGTTTCCTCTTCAGTTGCTTCCTCTAAAATCTGTATTGAAAATAATCAACTAATTTATACATTCATTAACTTTGATTTTCTCATAATGTAATTTTCAGAAAAAAAACCAGGCTTGGAAGTCAGCCCAAGGTGCAATGATCTTTCTAAACAAGATTTCCTGTGAGAATTCAGTGTCTTAATTTAGCAGTTAACTTAAGATCCACTTAGCTATTTTAAATGTTTATTATATGCACTGAAACTTTGCCACATACACAACATCAGAAAGCAGTAAATTAGCTCTTCAGATTCTTTCAGTTCTAGGAGTTGTGGCACAGAACAAATTTTAGGCACATTTTCCTATTAAGACTTCCTTTGACACACAGGCATTGTCAAAAGCCCACTGTTTTAGTTACAGCTTGAAACGGCATATAATGGCTTATCTTGCACGTAACAATGTAGGAAATTTCAGATTACTGATCTTAAAAACATTGCTTCTCTTGAAACAAGCAGACACTTACCCATCCTATTGCTTCAAACATCTTCAAATCAAGCGGATCCCCAGAAAGCACCCCTTCAATTTTTGTAAGGGAATGACAAGTTGCCATGCACGCAACAAACTCAGACTTCAGCAAGCTCTCACTGCAAACCCTCTCTTCCGGCAAAAGGAAACTAAAACAATGAAGTAATAATATACTTAGCACTATAATTATTTATTATGAGCCAATTCAAAAGGTTTGTTTAGATTAACAGAAGAAAATTGACTGCAGAACTTTCTTCACTTGTATTTTCACACATCATAGAAGACAGACTAAGACTCTCAGCTGGAATCTTCAGAAACAATCACAACTTCTGTCTCCTTCAAAAACTCTGCGTTTATTCACTGTCCAGTTTGATTCCTCATACATAGGCCTGTTACCACTTTGTACATAACTCAATTAGCTAAGCTAATTCGTTTTAGCTGCCCAAAAAGTCATCACTTAGGAGGACAGGATTAAGTAAACATACTATACTTGAATTGTATCATTTCTGCAGTATGAACCTAACGAGGTCTCGGACTTTAACAAATTAAATTCCACTTTAGCCTCATAAGAGAGTTACAACTTTCATTACACCTAAACCATATTTTTAGTTGCATTCTTACAGCTCATTACAGAAATGCAAACATATATGAGCTCACACCAAATTTTCTAATCTATTCTGTTGAAGCTGTTAAAGCATAACTAAGTATCATATTTGCTATCAGCTCTGAGCTTATCCTTACCGAGCATTTTCCACCCGTTGAATTCCCCAAAGATCCAAGCCATCCTCAGTAAGTGTGCCAGTCTGCAAAACAAACCAAGGGGCATGGCAAGAAGAAAAAGCCTTCAGAAACAAGTCGTCCTCAGGTAAAGTAAAATTTAACAGCTAATTAACAAAGTTAAACCTGGAAAACATATTTTATTATATTCACTTTAAAAAAAAAAATCAAGACTTCAGGACAGGAAATACAGTATCTCCCTTGCTTTTTGCTAGTAACTAAGTTCCAACTCTGCTTTGAATGTTTTTTTAAGTTACTTAACAATCATGCCAGTCCTTGGAGACAGGACAAATGAAGCAGACCCTTAAAATCCAAAGACGATAGCTCAATATCTCTATATTCAGGGGCTGGGGGCAACAGAAAATAGGTACTAAACCCTTAGTACTACCTTCTTACATAGCTAAAACAGTAACTGGAATGTATTTACAAGGGAAATAATAAATTTAGTGTGGGTACTTAAGATTTTAGATAAAAATCTAAGGAGGAAAATAAATTTTATCTAAGAATTAGCTAAAAGCAAAGGATTCTGACTAGGGGCATTACTGTCTTTCACTCATGTTTCTGTTAAGGAATGGTAACAAAATATAGTGGTTTAGCTTTTCATTGAAATAGTTGAAAATAAGAAACAAGTCTGACCTCACACTTCTATTTTCCAGAAGCTTATGTACTAAATAAAACTCTTAACAGACCCCAACTGTCACATTCCTGGTGTGTCAGTAGTAAGTTAGGACTTGGGATTCTTGAGATAAGCAAGCAGCTCTGTACTGTAACAACTTTTTAGAGTAGACTACATTAAGTGAGTTAACAGGTGGTAAACACTGAACACCTGGAAGCTAACAGGACAAAAATGATCTAACTTATATGAAAGTAATGAACTTTCCTGTAGTTGCTAGTCTACACAAATTCTCATTTGTAATACAACGCCTCTCCAGGTGGCAACACAAAGTTTCAAAATTCACCTAACCTTATCAAAACACACAAGATTCAGTTGGCCACAAATATTTATCCTTTGTGGACTGATGCAGAAGATGCCAATTTTTTTCAGTCTTCTTTGTGCATAAACAATGCCAGCAGTCATGGCAGCAGGGAGCGCTGGAGGCACCGTGATAGTGATAATGTCAAGAGACTCAATGATGATGGTATGAGCTGGAACCTGCAATAAAGGTCAGAGTTAATGAACAAGAACTCACTACTTGAAGATTCACTATCCCACTGAAGCGTTACATCACTGTTACCAAAAGCAAAATCCCCACATTGCTTTCCCTAGTACAGCATGTTCTGGATTGCACAGAAACCGAGCACAATCTTCATCCACCATCAGCAACCATGATAATCCAGTCCTAAATTATCCACAACCCATTACTTCAAGTTTTCACTTTTTCCTCTGCAAATATATTACTTTAAAACAGTAACTGAATAATGCAAAGTTTTTGGAGAGAAAGAAATTATAGTTACCAATTTCTTGGTAAGGATTTTTTTGCCTGCAGCATGCCTTAGATGTGCTATATCCTCTTTCCTCCAACTGGATATCAGTCACGTGGTAATCTTACATATAATAAAGATAAAAGTCTAGTAACTGGGTCAGTAGAAATTGCGTTAAACCCAAATTTCACTGTAATATATTCAAATACTGCTTCTCTGCTGAATTTTGTTCTCAGTAAACTTGTCCTTCTCATTCCATCGATAGAAAATAAAGCAAAAAAAATTTTGCTTCAAATCAAATTGTTTCTCATCATCTGAAGTGTGTTGGAAATAATGATCAACCCTTTCCTAAATGAAGGCAGTTCTGGACCAGAAATGAACACATACCTCATTTAAGATGCTATTGACAACCGTGTAAAGAAACCCAACGCCTGCCACCACTACCAGAGACAGAAGAAACAAATAGGCATCTCTGTAGAGTTTAAAATCAGTTGGCTTTGGATACAGTATGGAACGAACAAGCTGTCCTTTAGCAGTACTAAAGCCTAAAAATAAAAAGGAGTAAGTTATTAGAAGTATAAACAAGAGCAAAGCTATTCAAATACATTAAAAACCTCAATGAAACCCTTAAGCTACTCATTTCATTAAGACTGTTTCTCAATATATGGTAACAGATGTTTTGCAATACTGTAATTAAGGTGCTTCAAAAATTTACATGCACATCATATTAAGTGCTTCTCTCCTATGGCAAGGACATGTAGCTGACGCAAATGAACTCTTCTACAGCAGCAGTACAGCAGCAGTAAGCCTTCGAATGGTTTGGCCTGGAAGAGCTTGTTGTACTGCATTTTGTCCCTCACAGTGCAGAACTAGTGGGTATATTTATTAGTTGTCTAATTAAGCCAGTCCTTGCAAAAAGAAAACTAAGTTATTCATAGAGTCCAACCTTAAGTACTTAAGCAGCAAGTCTCCGTAAGCTCCCTTGACAGCCAGAAAGAAAGATTCAGAAAAAAACTTCAGTGCACAGAGTCAACTTTTGGAGAAACCCACCTCTCAATTGCATTTTGACACCTAAACTGGGAGAGAAGACTTCTAAAGGTCTTAAGAGTCAGACAACCAATAGATACCCTGAGATCCTCCTTGAACCTTTGCCTCAGCATGTGAAGATGCCAACACCAGTGCCCAATTTTGTGTGCCTGAAACATTTTGCATCTGCTTAGACTTCAAGGTTGAAGGTTGAACCTACTGAGGTTAATACAACCTCAATATCAATGTCAGGTCTGCTGGCATTAGCGACAGCTCCTTGACACTTGACAGCTTCTCAGTCTGCAAGCCATGACAGCAAAGGCTAAGCCCTCCACACTGATATGTGGCATACAAGATTCTACCAGAACAGAGCAGCTATTGCATCAGTCTTAAAGAGGATGAGTTCATCCCAAGAGGAACGCAGTGTGAAGCCTCCAGGCTTTGAATCTGCTATTGCAGAATACAAACCATGGGCCTGCTCTCAGAGAAGTTCAGCATGTCAGTACTTGGCCATGAATGTTGAGTATTTGGCCACGAATGCTTTGCAACTTGACACAGCAGTCCAAAAAAAAAAAAAATAATAGTCAGAACCACTTTTGATTTTTTAATGGTTTTGCAGAAGGTTCTGTAGTCACATAGGCTAGAACAAACGAGGATAAAACAATAAATGAGAACCTCATGCAGTATCCTGAGAACACACTGGACAGACAGCTTCAGTGAACATTTCTGTTCTCTAAAAAAAATAATTTCAGTTTTGAATTCTTTACATTTACAATAGAAGCCACAATGACATACACTAACATATCCATGAACTGTGTATCAGGAGCAAAAAAAAATTAATACTTTTAGTTCATCAGTATTTTATGTATATTTTAGCTGTAACATCAAACATTTCATGTTAAAGGTTTAACTCTGAAGAGTACTGTGCGCACAGTCCCAGCAGATCAATCTTAGACACCGATTTACAACAAGATTAAGACTACATGTCTTTGCACACAACCACATGGAGTTCTGTTCTCCTAGAATTTTTTTAAGGACTAAATTTTCTAGTATCTTCAATTTTGTGGCATCCCCCTCTCTCAGATAACAGGATTTTTACTTTTATCTCACTAGGTAAGCATTACTTCAGTTCTTACTATTGGACATCTTAGGAGCGAGAAAGTACAAGCACGGTGACATCTATCCAGTTCTGTGGAGTGGGAAATTCCCTACTTGCCTAAAAGTCATCCCTGTAAACCAGACAGGAGAACAGAGGGGATTTTATATCACTTTGCTTCTCTCTATATATAGTCATAGCAAGAAAAGTGTATGTGTCCACATGTAAAAATCTGAATAAGGTCCACAGAGCTAAATTCATCCTGTTTACAACATAGAAGCTAACTCTGACCTGTCACAGGCAAAGAGTAGATTAAAAAAATGACTTCAGATGTCAGGGCAGTAAGACTCAGTGTGTTGGAAGCAATTACAATTCTCCTTGTAACAGTTGCAGACTACAGTTTGACTTTAAGAAAAAGCATTATCCTTCTGCAGAACAGAAGTAGTAAGTCTTCAGTAGTTCATTTCTGTTACTGTTTTAGACCACCTATCTGTATATACATGTTAGGCTGGGCACATAAAATTTCTTAAGAAACAAAAGAAGTTGAGATGGATATTATCAAAGGGGAGATGTGTTCAAGGGAAGGGAAATATTTTTCTTTAAAAAGACTAATAAAAGCCTCTAGAAAGACATTAATGAATTTAATTAAAAAATCAGAACACTTACTGCTGAAACAAACTAACAGAAGGTGAAGAGAAGACACCAGAGAAAGAAGAGGCTAATTAGGAAGAAGTTACTTTAATTAGGATGAAGTTACTTATTGGAAAATTTGCTTTAAGTAGTATTGTAGTCACTTTAATCAAATTTATTCTACCCAATTCTACTGTAGCTTGGATTATAGCTTACATTCATCTATTTTGTGGTGGTTTTCTTAAAATCATCTTTGTAAAGCAGAATCCCACAACTACGTTACTCTCTGCAATTGTTTTTAACAGAACACCTGTATTATCCAAAACCAAATCTTTAACATATTAGTATGAATAAGCACTTCTGTAGAAAGGGTCAGACTGAACACCTTTTTTAAGCAAATGTTATGTACTCTGACAAAGCTATGGGCAAAGAAAAACATTTGACATCGACAATGACTCCACTAAAATAAGTGATTCCCCACTCTCAATCCAACGGTATGCCAAACCTTTTCAGAGGCATATGTAGTTCAACCAACACACTGTAAAAGAGATCTAAATGACTTGAAAATGCATTGAGATAAGTTTTTAATTAATGATAAAGACTGATTCACCTTCTTGCTTGTCAACTGATACTCTCCAGGTCATTGTCTAGTTCTATTATTGTTCTAAGACATTTATCAAAATATTTAGGGTATACTCATTTATCCAAGCTTAGCAACATTCAACAGTACTCCAAAGTACCAGTTGACATACACCTACAAAAGTGAGTAGTACATTAACAAGTAATAAACTTAATAAATCAATACCTGTTCTCACTACCAGAGCTTTGACCAATTCTCCAGTATAAAAACGGGTTTGAATGACATTGGTTCCACAGAACAAAGTATGCCGTTTATGCACTTCTGGACTGTATATTTCATCTCCCATTTCTTTCGGATATTCTGAAGGATTTGGTAGATTAATCTTTGTGACAGGAACACTCTCACCTTAAATGGAAAAAGAGTCTCTAAGCAAAATCAGCTAAGAATTGATATTTTTTTCCTTCACAACTTCAAGTATAACAATATAATCTCACTTCATCAGCACACAAGCAGACTTACAGAAGAAGTCATCTTCCTTTCAGCACGTTATTAGGTAGTCTCTCACCTATTAGCCTCAGCTCACCACATTCCTTATCCAAATCCTATTTAACTCTATTCGTTATTCACCAACACAGCTTTTGTGCCTCTTACTTCAAATCAGACAGGTGTAAAATACAGTTCTTTGAAAGAAAACAGGACAAGCTTCCTTTCTCCTCCTGCAAGGCATCACCCCGTCTTCACTCATCAAAACAAGAAGCTGAAGACAACTATTCTCAGATCCTTTGGTGACCAAGTACACTCAAGCTCAGGTTGCAATCAATTTTTATCAGTTGCTAGCAGCAGCAAGAGGCTCAAGTATATTCAAAGAACTGAATGTAATAAAACACACAATCTCTGAACTACAATTTTCTAAACGCTGCCAGTTTGGACAGATTATCCTAGGAATAACAAAAAGTCCTTCCTATTCACTGAAGCTGGTCTTCAAATACATCAGGTCCCTGGATTCAGAGTATGCAGGCACAACTTGAGATAGCAATTTCTGTTTTTAAATACAGCAGAACATTCTACTCACTACCTTCATTCTGGGAAGCAGACAAAAAGTTTGGGTAAAAATTTTCTGAAGAAACATACTGCAAAGTTCAATCTGCACTGAGAACACCTAGTCAAGAGGCAGGAAGACAAACTGCCAAGAAGAAAGCTTTTCAACAAGAAACAATCACTCATTTTCAGAGTTGCAAAGCAGTAGGAGGCAGCTGGTGCAGATAAACAGAACACAAGTACCTAGGTACTTAGGAGCATATGTAATTGCAAGAGCATACACATTTCAAGCAAAATAAACATATCCACTTCTGCTAGAACATACCGCAAAGTTAAGGATGTGCACAGGTATATACTAATATGTTTAGCAATGCAAAACTTACAAAGTTTACTTTACCTGTTAACATACTTTCATTTACAATGCAAGTACCACTGAGAAGTACTGCATCACAGGGCATAATTGTCCCATTAGATGGAATCAGCATGGTATCTCCAGGCACAAGGTCAGTGGAAAGGATTTCTTCTATTTCTGAGCATTAAAACACAAAGAAGTTTACCTGAATATAGCCACCATCTACAAAATCTGATAAAGATCCTCACGGCCAAGATCCAGCTGGTGATAACTAAGATGATACTCCATTTTATTAATGGCATGATGAAAAGTTTTTTAAAAAGATATAGAAAAAGCCATTGATAAACCCAGTTCCATCACAGATTAAACTCTAGAGCACATGGGTATAGTTCATCATAACAAATGAAAGGAATCAAGCTTGTACAAAAGATATTAACAATTAACTACAGTATAACCTCAGCATAAAGACAAGTCCAACACAAATGCATGTCTCACAAAGCAGTATCACACACCACAACCTAACCATGTTCTACTACTGTGGTCTCCAAATGAGCAGAAGTCCAGAAATCAATTCGCAGCCCACGCTGGGTAATAAATTGTAATGGAAACCCAACACATGCACATCTTTAAGCCAAGAAAGAAACTACAATGGCAGTTACATGTGTGGAGTGGTAGATAGTGAGAAACAGGAATAGGACAAGCACCTAATCTTGAAGAAACCTGATACTCGTTAAAAATACCATCTAGAAGGATAATCCTGAACAGATGACTATCCTATCTAAATTTCACTTTGCAACTTCTCCTTTTCCCATGCAATTTTGCTAAGAAATGCAAGCATTTCAAGCTGATCAAAGAAAGAACAGATGCACACCAACTTTACACTCACACTTAATGAACAATTTACACTCAACCTTTCAAATCGCCTGTGAAATTTACCTTGGTTTCCTCTGCAGACAGAAACCCTGACAATGCTGTGAGCTGCTACCATATCATGTAACATAACATATTGCTGCAAAGAGGAGAAAACAGTTCATTATTTAAAAGCACAGCTTGTCTTCTAAATGCATATTCTATCCCTACAAGTAGAAGTCATGAGGTTCTTTACTAACATTCTTTTGCAACAAAACGTTACTCAAAACATTCTCTTGAACATAGTTTAGGAAACTTATGGGCAAATAAAGTTTGAGTGCATCAACCTATACAGGTTCCCACTTCTAAAGCATTCTGGAAGTAAATATATATTGCCACACAAAATGTTATAAAAACTGCAGTAGTTGTATGAACTTGGATTAAGGTAGGAGGTTTTTTTGTCTCTGGTCTGAATTCAGAGGTTGCAGTTTAAGGATAATTACTACTTTGATTTCCATCAGTTACAGCTAAGTAGCTGCAATCACCAATTTAACAATCCAAATGTTTGGCTGGTGCTCAATTCTGTTGGACTTCTTCAAACAGAAGGAAACAATACAAGATGGAATCACTACTGTCAATACAGCTTGGTACATAAACTTGTGTCCAGGTTTTATTTAAGGGAGATGGTGTTTCTGTTATCTGAGGTCAACCTACTGATTCAACAGCATGGAAAGGCAGAAGAGAAGGGTCTCCAAGAACTGTAAATCCAAATTCTTTCAGCTCAAAGAGGGAAAACCCATAACAATATTCTACCTGTATACCTCTAAAAAATTCTTTAAGATTTGTAGACAATTTCACATCAAAATAAACCAATCAGTAAAATGCTGTAAAGATGCATCTGTTTTCTTTGAACTTACCTTTCTAATGGTGTAGAGTGAGCTAACAATGGATATTACAGACATGATCACAATTGCTAATGCATAGTAGTGATATTCATCAGTGATCCACAATATCACACTGAACAACTGAAAAATGTAAAAAGGGTTGAGAACCTAGAAGAGTGACAAAACATTAAAGTTACACCAAAAGGTCACATGCATTCTCCATCAGAAGACAGTCAGAATGATCTTCCTCCTTGATGGAAGAGATAAATCTTTCAGTTCTTCATACATTATTTTTTGTCTGTTTTGCCAAACCGATCCCTCTTTTTCACTATTTCCTCAAACTCTGAAAAGCACAGTTCTCACTAAAACAATACATGAATACATACTTTTAAGACCACATACAGTCTTTTTCCTGTACATCTACACCTCAAAGCAAAATGATAGGAACATCTGATGCACCTCAAGTTACAATTCTTAAATTAATTTGGATGTTGTTATCTACTTCTTAACTGACGTGCTGACATGTCAAGTTCTTACTCTGTTAGTTCAGGTTGGAGAGTTTCTTTGTTCAAAAGTTTCTATCGTGCATTATTATAGCATATGGATAACAAGTCAACTATTCAAATCCACCTGACACAAGAAAAAATGGAATAAATCCAACAAGAGTATATGCAAGAACACATTTGATTTGACGTATGTGTTGTAATGTACAATCCCTGGGCTGATCATGGAGAATACAATCAATCATTTTATTAACAAGAGAATTCTGACACATTTGCTAACATCCTTGCCAAGGCACCAGGTTGTCAACTCTGAAGAGCTTACAGCTGAGGCCTCTTAAGTTTGGAGAGCTCAAAAACAAAGGTTCATATCATTTTCCCTTACAGTGCTGGGCTCTGGGAGAAGGTTTCTGTTTTACATTATTATTTGAAGACCAGTCCAACAGTCATTGTACTTAAAGTAACTTTTAATGATATGTTTTTTTAATTTGTTACAGAAAAGATCTTACCTCCTTAATGAGAAGCTTAAAAATGGAAGGCACTTTCACAGCAATTTCATTTACTCCATAGAATGCTTTTCTGCATTCAAAAAAAAACCAAACAAAAAAATATCAAAAGACAGTTAACCTTTTTATTAGAAATCTTATTGACTTCAAAGTAATTCCATTAATATTATAAAGTACAAAATATCACTTAATCTGTGGTCCCTTTTATTTATCATAGTTTCAAAAAGCATTTATGAGAAAACATTTACCCAGTAAGATGTTCCAATACAAAGATAATTATTCTATACTTCAATTTAAACTGTAACTTAATTTTTAGGTTCTTTCATAATAAGATTTCCCTGTAAACTGCATATAGGTCCAATGTTATTAAACATGTCATTCTGAAAGCCAGTATGGCGTTCTTATTAACCGAGACTCAAACAAGTGTCAACTCTTACCCTGCAGTAAGACACTGTTTTCATGGTTCTCTATCTTACTTTTATTCTTAGCACAGAGAAAGGCAAACCATGAAGGGAGGGGGGAGGGGGGTGTGCAGGGAGAAACTAACCTCTGATGGGATCTGAGCTGGTTAAATGACATTGACATAAAGAAGCCCTTAAAGGATGTTAAGGAAAAGACACAAATTGACAGAAAATGGAATGAGCAATCAGATGCTTCCATATTTTAAACTCTAAGAAGGTCTCATTTAGAAAAAAAAAAACAACACAAAACAGCCAGGAACACAACAGAACCCATACTATTCTAGTTTGGGTAGTGTATCAATAAATTAGAATACCAATAATCTACATATCATATTGTGAAAATGTATACTCCAGCTTGCTGTTCACATTTGAGAACAAAGAAAATCCTGGATTATGTAGCATTAAAGTTACATTTGAATCTTTCTCTTCTAGACTAAGTTCTTCTCTACTTATGCCCTTCAGCTGTGTCCCCTGACAGGCATATTTTGTTAAAATGTTAAAACACTACTATTTTTTTTCCCCAGTTATTTCTTGCCAACCAGAATTAAAAGAAAAAGTGGGGAATGCATGTAGCCCCAACCAACCAGAAACAGATCCATGCAAGCTACAATCTGCAGCTTGAGACACATGAGCATCTTCCCAGCTAAAGAACTCTTGATGGACTTTTCCACTGGGAATCAGTCTATTGGCCTCTGAACCCATACACACCGTTCAACAGTGACAGTATGTTATGCTAACATTGATGTCACTTAAAGGTGAGTTATGTGGAAAAAATAACTACTTTGTTTTACATCAACAGCCAAATTTCACTGTGTATCTGCCAATGTGGTTGAAAACATAATTGCTTGCTATTCTTTTTGTACACTCATTTTATTTCAAAATGTTAAGTGGTAAATACAATTTCAAAAATATATTCTGAATTACATTAAGCAATAGTTCCAATGCCCATGGTCAGTGTAGTTTGAGAAAAGTAAGTCAACACAATATTAAGAGTCTAGCTCCTACTCAATGTATAGGCAAGAAAAACAAGAATTTCATACATCTAACAGCCTTCTTTGAAGGAAGTGTAAGAGCCTGTCTGTAAACACTAACCACTCAACTGTCTTCTAGTTTTGTTAACACTCTGAGCACAGGTCACGGAACGAAAACAATTCTTCCCTTAGATACTGTAATATTACCTGTAATCATGCATTGCCTTTGTCAGTCCTGTGCTGTGTTCGTTATGAATTGAAGAACAGAATGTAGATTCATCTAGACCTCTAAGTAAAGGAAAAAATCAATGAGTTATTCAAGAAACCTGATATTTAAAATTAAGTATTCAGTAAATCGAAAGAGCTAGGTCTTTGCCAAGAGTCACACTGTATTATAAAAGAACAAAGTCTATGGATTAATGTTTTTCTAGCTATTTTTGTCCCAACTGCAGATACCAATAAGATGACCAATCCTCTCGTTGATACGTCTTACTCTGTAGGATAGTCATACCTATTTCAATCAAAATGAAGATACACTTAAAAAATGAAGTAAAATACTAGCACAACCAGTATTCAAAGGCCTCTGAGAAGAAAAAATGAGCAAGTTTCATAAAACATCATATGAAATCAATAGGGATTAATAATTCTTCAAATTACCTTTATTTATCTCTAAGTAGTAAAGGAAGCATTTTAGAAACAATTATTAATTTATTAAATAAATCTATACTGAAACTATTTTGCAGCATCCTGCTATCAAAATTTTATCCACGACTAGGTAAAGTACAATCCACATTTTAAGTACTTCCTTATCAGTGGAAGAGTCATCTTCACAGGACTTTTCTACATGTCGTGAAAGCAAATGCTATAATTTAGAAGATCTGCAGATAAGCAAGCACACCTGAAACATCATTGTGTTTACAGCTATGGGAACATTCCAACTACCAAACTCAGTAAATTGGACATATCATGCCCAATACTCAGGTATTTTCTAGCTGACATACTTTGGAGGCACAGGAAAATATCATTACCTTCCAAAAGACTTTCACAGATGACATAACAAAACCAGCACTATTCAACACGACTCTTTTTTATATTGGGTATCTATCAAGTTATCTACTAAAAAGAATTCAGAGTTGTCCCAGTGAAGAAGAAAAACTCTTAATTGTTACTACATATGCACAACAATTTCCATTCTCTATAACACAGGGAAAGCTTTAAACATCCTCACTGTTGCAAAGGCTAGGACCATGTTCTCAACAACTTCTCATACAAGAACAGAAGGTAAAAACGTTAATGTGTTCATCTGGCTACAGGTTTACAAGGTTTCCCTAAAATTTTTCAGGTTCAAGGATTTTAAAATCACGATTTTTACATGAATATACAATTCTCTGTTAATGACTGTGCCTTTCCTCCTGTTCTATCCCAAGTGATTTAATTTATCTTTTCCTGCATAAAAAGGAATGTAACAGTGGGTTTAAGAAGTTCTAGGGACTTCTAAGTGCTTTAGATGTATAGATGCATACCTATGTGTGTAATGTCCATGCAAAGACAAAGCTTCTAGAAGGATGTTATCTGATTTTTACAGTACCATTACAGTACTGAATTCCCAAGGCATTTTAAAAAAATCCCTGTGTGCACACAGTTTACTACATAAAGCACTCATCAACTCACTCAGAGATTCAGTTGACACTAGCTAAAACAAAACAGACATACAAGGTCAAAGTTGCATCCTCTTTGGCTATGTGACCAAGTCTGATTTAGTTTAAGAACAATTACACTTGCATTTCCTGTGTTTAGAACAGTGATCTTAATATTACGTTATTATAAAAAGAACAATGATATGAAACTCGAGCTCTCATAACTGAATTAGTTTCCCAAGAAATCTTAATTTGCCTCCCTTCTGTATTGTGTTAAGTCTTTAATTATGTGATCAAACTGCTCTGTCTCTGGATACTTGCATAATTAACTGCACAGAGTAAATCCATCTTCATTACACAGACTTGTACTTAGATCACAACTACAACTGTGTTGCTTGCCTTACGGGTTTTAATATAAAGCCTCCAGTCTCATATACCGTCTCTTTACATATATTAACTTGATTCTCTATCATGTTATTAGGTAACACCGATTTCTGTTTTTTACATAAACTAAAGAGCAGATTAAGAAAAAGTATCTTGATGAATGACAAATTTTTAAGACTTCTTTTCAGAGTATTTATCATTCATAAGTTTAGCTATTATTTCACAGGTGGTATCTAGTATTTCACCACATGATCGTATCTAATTCACTTTAGAGAAAAGTTATAGCAAACTCTCATTCTTATTTGACCTTGTGCAAAAGTGACTTAGTACTCTGCCAGTATCAGGTATGTTTCAGATCCAGCTGTTTCTCCTCTTTATTATCGAATTGGTAAATAATGGTGTCCAGCTCAGCTACAGTACCTGACTAAACAAGTGGTCAGGCTCAGTCATTGCTAATACATCAAACAAATGAAAGTTTGGCACATCAACAAGAATGTGATTGAATAAATGCTCACATAACTTCACAGGCGTATCTGAGATTTTTCCGGGGCTTATAAATTGGCTGAGTTATCACAAGAACATCAAAAGGCACAGTCAAATAGCCAACAAATGCCAAGTTTCAAGTCACTGCTTTTAATGCTAGGGAACAACTTTTTCTAAACACGTGGAGTCATATGACTTTTTCCCATACCTGTTTTTCACATAAAAGTATAAGTTTTTTAATCTCATCTGTGGGAAATATTCCCTTTGAACCCTTTAAATTAGCAACACTATACACAGGAAAACAGGACCCTATAATGCAGGATGACAAGCATCACTACCTGCACCCACTGTAATTCATTAACATAAAGAAATGCATACAAAGCTTTTAATTATTTACACGTGAACTGAGACATTTTCAGCCTCCCAGAGGAGGAGTGTTCAGTTTTGTAACTGCTTGTATTATGACAATTTCTTTAAATTGTTGTCATTGCTGATAACTTTCCATGCTATTTGCACATACGTTTTTTGAAAACATAAGAAACACTTGCAGAGTATGTTTCTTCTTACAGAAATTACAGCTATTTTTCTTTCCTTCAGTCACTGGTAATTAATTTTTTCTATATGTAGTGCTTGCACTCTTCCACATGTTCAATGCAGTCAACATTGATTTTATATTTCCGATCTGAACTTCTTATTTTAACAAGCAGTTGTCAAAAATGGAGAAGCCTGTGTTCATTTAACTTGTTAGTACTATGAGAAGGCCTTATTAGTAGCATCAGAAAAAACAACTTTCTTCTTCAACCCTAATGTCATGCAACAGTGCTGCTGGATAAAAGAAAACACAGCACATCACATTAGGCGAGTGCAACTACTACTGCCCACTAAGACATTTTCTATCAATGCAAGAGACTTGTTTTTGTTACTAAAGAGTAACAAAAGAGAGATCAAATTCACCTCAATTGGACTAAAATGTACCAGCAGACCTATGCAAAGGTGAGCAACAAGGTATTTGGTGAATTCCCTTCTTCCTAAATACTCCTTTTGGGTCTAGCTCAGCAGTAATGCAAAAAAAGTAAATTGCCGCCTCAGAAAGAAAGTTCTTAAGGGTTAATAGAAGGAGAATTACTGTCTATAAACAGGTGCTCTGATTCTCAAGTAACACTCCAAGAACAGGCAAAAAGCCTGCAGAGACATGCAGCCTGTCACCCTATACGAATCATGCTTGAAAAAGGTAGATTAAACAAATACCTTCCTTCCAAAGTCACACTAAGTCAAAATCTCCCTGCTCTGACTATAGTTCAAACAAAGACTCAATGAGCTAGAACAGCTGGTCAGTATATGATACCAATTTTCACCATGTTCTTAGGTATGCTATTGTATTTTTCAAAAAAAATGCAGTTTGAAGGACTATGCAAAAGAAATATGCATTCTTACCGTACAATATCAAAACTCTGAACTGAATCATTCCAGAAATACTTCACGCTGTGATGTGTGAAATAACGAATCTGCAAGGGCAACAGACAGATACTAAAATAGCACCGCTTAACACATCTCTTCTGACTAACTTTACTCTGAACAGTGATAGAAAGTGAATTTATAAAAACTTCACTGAAAAATGAATACTTTTCTTTCAAAATAAACTTTCATGCATTCCACAATTTCCAGCAACAGGTTATTGAGGAAAAGATCTGTGCTCCATCCAAAGAATGAGTTAGCCTATTAGACAAAAGCAGCAGCTCACACATACTGTACTGTGTGTGTTTACTCTAGATACTACTTGAGATACTTCAAAAATTCGCAAGCGTAGTATTTCAGGTTTACTTACAGGCAAATATTTTTTCAAATCATTTTTATTCTCTTCTGCAGCGGATTCACAGAAATGAACAGCATGGCCATTTGAAATCTTGTGTACAATAGAGTTAGGATTCTCTAAAGGATTGGCTCCCAAAGAAGGCATAGTGCGAACCTTTGCACAAAACCATATCTTGAATTCATCCTTAAAACAAGAGCAAAAAAAATGAGTTGGTTGAAACAGCATTTAAACAGTATTTTACTACAATAGTTGTAGCTAAATGTGTCAACAACAGAGGACAGATTAGCAGCACCCATACATAACCACATAAGATATCCCGAAGTTAGTATCAGCTACCTAAAGAATGCATTTTCTTTCCACAATTCTAAAAGCATATTTTTTGCACTGAAAGATATATTTATTTTTAAGCAATGAGTCTTGATACTTGAATCTTGACATCTGCAGCCCTTCACAATTTAATATAGTTGTTCTGTAGTAGGAGGAACTATGGGATTCCTATGCATTCAGCCACACCCATCCTGCAACTTCAAATAACTGAGGACTTAACACAAGATCATAACCAGGGACTGTACACAGAGACTGTGCATGAAAAAAAATCACTTTAAATCAAACCACACTTAGGTCCACAGTTATACCTTAATTCAGCAAATGTATCTTTGCTGAACAAGGGAGGGAAAACCTGAAAACCATGTTATCAGGTTATATGAACAAGGTATCTGTTCTGTAACTTTTGATGACAACAGCATTCGTGTATTTAATTCTTAAAATCCAAAAGCAAACACTTTCTTTTTGCTATGTCCTCTGCAAACAGCTGTCAGTCTTCCCATATGGGCAGCAAAACTACATACAGTACCAAGGAACACATTTCTGCAGTGCTGTAAAACAACATGTCTACATTGCAGGCAAGGATTTGTTTTATTTTAGCAATCAGCAAGAAGGATGCGAAACAACTGCAAACCAGGAGAAGCGCACCCTCCTGTAGACTTACAGTTGTTCTCAGCAGAACCACTTCACAGTCTTTAAGCGTAGTCTTTTTGCACGTTGCTTTCACACGCCACTGAGGCATCCAGTAGAGGAGGAGGAGAAGAAAGCCACCAGAACAGATCACTCCTACAGTAACTAGCACCAACTTCCAGCGACATAGATCATAGCCACAGATCTCCTACATGGAAACAGAGACACAAATAACAAACAATTACCCTCGTAATTTCTCTGGTTTGGGAAGCCAGCATTAATTTTTCACAAAGTGCAGTATTTAAAATAAATCAAATTTCAAAGCCATTTTCTCCTTCTTTTCTGAGGGAAGGAAAGATTTAAAACACTTTAAATACATGATGGAGTAGCAACAAAAAGAAACACTGTTTTGCTTGGTCAGAAATACAAACCTCAATAAAAGCCTGGCAAAGACAGAACATCCACATTGTTTAAAACATTTCATTGCAGGATCTCTCTCCTCTCTGCAGTATTCCCTAAGGACTGAGGTTGCAACACAACCTGCCTTAACTCTCAGTGAACAACCAAATTTTTGACCATGACATGGCACAAGTCAGCTAAGCATTTAAGAGCTAAAACATATGTGGTTTTGTCAAATGCCGATTTTACCACGTTAGCATTTGATTAGTTAGCGTACATAGCTTTAAATTACTGGTGCTAGCTGAATTTCATACTTTCTAAACAAGCCTGTAAATATATTTATTAAACAGTACTTTTTAGTAGAGAAACTGGCTTATTTTGCCTGCCACTTAACAAGAAATGCTACTTTGAAACATTAGAAACAGCAAGCCACACCGTCAAAGGTTCTGTAACTTGCACCAGTTGGAAAAATCCTCTTCTCCTATTAAAAAAAAAAAAAAATACCAACCACAAAGTATTAAGTGTGCCTTGGACAAAGGCAAGTACCACCTTAACCTGACGACAGCCAGGACCAGAAAATAATTCAGTGACTTACTAGACGCTGTGTTACATTCCTGAGTTTCACATTACATCATTAGATTATATTTCCTGCTGCAAAAGGGCAATGAAGTTTCCCATTGAGTCCCACCCACATTGTTCATATTGACACCAACGTTAAACAGTATTAGAAATCGTTTAAACTCCTTTCCTAAGAAAAGGCTTCTCAGCTGACAAAAAGCAGAGACAAAACCCATTCTCTGTTACCTCCAAAACACTGGAGACAGTATTCACTCCCTACCAATAAAAACAAGTGGGTGAAAGATAGTGGGAGAGGTTAATGCTTCTTTTGGGGCAAAACAAAATTATTTCCTCGGAACAGCATTTATTTTAGTGATCAGACCATAAGCATCTCAATTTCATCTTCTGTTCTAAGATGTATTTGCCTACTCTCTGTATTACAGCTGGTTTAGTGAAGAGCAGCTTTTCCTAGCAGCATGCACAAAGACAGAACAAGGACTTCAATTCACAGGAATCTACCATTTTTTAAAACAAAAATCCCAATATACCCCAAATAGTTTCTGCTGTCTCTAAACTGGGCTAGAAATTTAAAGATCAGCTGCCACTATTTTCCTGTCAAAGCTAACTGCTGTGTCTTCCAGGACAAACGACGAAAGATGTATCATTGGTCCAGTAGGGAGCAAAGTTTGTGTGCTACCAAATACCTGTAAAACCGCTTGCCATGCTTTAGGGAGTGGGTCTTATCTGCATAAATATGAATACACAAGAGTATGCAGAGTATAGTCAGATTACACAGCATTAACCTGTTTTAAATGACAAGAAAAAAGCTCCAGGATTTGAAGGGGGGGAAAAAAAAAAAAAACACAAAACAAAAACAACCAACCCACAACCCACTTTGCTTTCATTTTCCTTCAAAAAAAAAAAAAAGGTTAAGTATCAAAATCTGTTATCTATTGGACTACTGACCTCAATGTAGCCAACCCAGCACCTCTGCAAAGGCTTTCAACAAAAGCATGCCCTATCCCAAGACTAGATTTCTTAATACCAAAAAAGATTATCAAGAATAACCTTATAAAAATTGCTAAACTGATTTAAACTGAGACAGTCCACTTCCTGATGTAATATGCCCCATTTAGAGAAAAAAACCATGAAAATGTGTTTCACTGTATAAAAACAGACAAACAGAATTAGTTACCATCTCATCTTCCTCTGCTTTATTAACAAATTTCTTTTCTTCTTTATCCATGTTTAGTATGATATGGAACTTCTTGACTTGAGATATGGAAGACCTTTAACAACAACAGAATTAAAAGTTGAAGCAACAGTACTGGTTTTATACCTAAGTATTAGGTTGTTTTCAGCTATTTTCTGTAGGTGCATACACATAAAACACACTGACCACATATTAATATAGATCTTAAATTTACACTGTTATTAGTTTCCAGTAGTAACAACTCAGGGAGTTCTAGTAAAGCTTTAAGATTGAACAGTGGATGAATACAAGTGAAATATTGCAGAAACAGCAGGCTTTGAGGGAGGGAAAAGAGCTTGCACCAATTTAACTTGGTTACATTCTACATACAGCAAGTAGTTTTTGGTACATTCTACAAACTTCGTGATGGAGACATAAATTAAACCTGTAAAAAAAGCTTTAAAGTAGGCCAAAATTACACATTTTTATCATTCTATATGTAATAGTTCCGATCAGATGCTTTCAGAAGCCAGGCTATCCTTCAAGAGGAAAGACAATGTACGCCCAAGATATGCATTTCTCATCTGAGCAGAAAAATAAGTACACATTAAAAAAAGTTTAATCCTCAGTTTAATATTTCTAAATCAAGACATGCTTATTGCTCAGTTAGTCTTTTCCCTTCTTTCCAACTTTTTTAGTATTCAATTTGTATCAATGGGTTCATTTCTTACTGTAAATCTCTCATAGTCGCAAATTTTGAGGGGTGCTTTGAAGATAGATTATGATCACAAGTCTCACAAATAGTGAAAGACATGAAAAAATATGAAGCTCTCTGAGAGGAACACAGTGCACACAGATCCCTATTCCAATAGGGAAGAGCTACAAACAAAAAACTACAGCATACTATGAGGCTCATCAGAAGTTTCAACATCACATAAACAAAGAAAATAAAAAGAGATAACAAGTCAAAATGCTAAAATTTTGAAAATAAAACTGCATCTAACCTTTCTTTGGGCACCCCAAAGGGTGTTACAAAAAAAAAAAAATGAAGGTGAAAGCAATCCATTTAACATCATCTCAGCTGTTCACTGAAGACTAGGATGCCACTATTTAAAACACTTCGTATTAGGTAGCATTATGATAAAAGCACAACCATTACCAAGTTCTTTGCTGCCATTAACTCCCCAACGTTTTCACAAATCAAATCACCAGACTCCAAGTCAGACTCTCGCAAAGCCAGCCCCTGGATCCATGCACTTACATTCAGCAGCAATGCCAACTTCAAAAGGTCCTTCCTCCCAACTCCCATAGTTTATCAACATCATCACATCCTCACATGTTTCCTGCAAGCTCCCACCTCCTTTCCAATTAAGCCAACAAGCCAAGTGGGAACTCAACAGAAAAGGTTTCTTTTGCTGCCCAAATCTGGGTCTCCTCAGAAATCTATTCCCATTGCTGAAGAAGGTCCTAGTGGAAGAAACACACTCGAAACAAAGAACTGCATCACAACACAGCGCACAGTCACAGGTGAAAAAGAACTCAGCACTTCATAAATTGAGTGCTTGATACAGTTCGTATTTTGTTCTGTATGGAAGGAAGCCAATTTGGTAACGACTGTCTCCTTTGACAGAAATGCCAGTTCACATACTCCTTGCTTTGTTAAGCTGAACATTTTCTATTACTATCCAATACTGAACTCTGAATACCTTTCTTACTGCAGAGTAATTTGGAAATTAAGTCAAAAGACGTGCACCACTGATACTTCCTTATCTGTTACACAAGTCATGCAAGTTCTAAAATACTTTTTTATTTAAATTGCCACTTTTCTTTACTAAACAGCTTTTTATGCTGGGAAAGATTCTCTCTCTCTGAAACCAGTTAAAATCTGTCCTAAACCTACAAAGGATTGCTAAGACAGCCCCTGAGAACAATCTTCGAATTAGTAACGTCAAACAACTTTATGTACATCATACAAATCACATTTTCAATCAAGAAGTCATGCAGCCAGAAAAAGTTATAGGTATTTACAGAACTATAGTTCTAATAAAGTTCACAGCTCCACGAGAGAATTATTAGATTTATCATAGCTGAACTAGTCTGCTCTCAAACAAACATGCATTTCCCTGCAATAGTGTACTGCAACATCAAAAACAGTGCCTGCAGGCAAAATTCCAATCTTGATGAACACATCTAGCAACAACTGTACTTGATACAGGAAAGCACCAGGCAGCAAAATAAATGCAAACAGCTTCAAGATCAATAAATCTCAACTGAGATTTCCATATGGCCAACACGTCAGAACAGGCACCTTATGGGACACGGCGGCAGCATGAGAAGTGCAATTGCTTTCATTTAGGGCTGTTCCACAGCTAGGAAGGCGCGTCCAGTTGTCAGTGTGAAGAAGCACAAAGGGAAATCTCAGCACTGAGAGCACCAGCAATAATTCCTGAGATTCAATGAGGTTTTTTTGAACAGCTGGGTAGAATCACACAGGGAATACACAAGGAGCATTAGAAGGCTATTTTTGACTCACATCATTAGCTCCATCTGCATTATTTTATACAGACTCATTTACTTCAACTAACACACACATTCTTAATATTTCACATGATGTCTGTAATTTTCCATATTAAATTCAAATCCAAATCTCTAAATTTAGAAAACATTAGAAAATTTTTCTTAGTTAATAGGTCGTGAAAATCATTACTATTCTGCAACAAAGAACAGCACTCTTTCTCCAATCCTAGCCCTTTTGGCACATCATCAGCCCAAGATCTTCATCACGAGTTTAAACGTGTAACTGCTTTGGGTTTGTTTCTCACTGCCCTGCTGAAAGTTGACCACCACCACCATGGGCTCCACAGGGTTACCCTCTTTGGAGGTGACTTCAGGACACTGGTCAGGCTGAAGAAATAAGTAGCAGCATCTCACCAATTCAGAAGAGACTCTAACAATCTGCATTTGATCTTTACTTCCTTCCTTCTATAATATGGTAGGAAATTAAACATTTCAATACTTTAAATATTTAATTAAACATTTAAATACAAGCCTTGGACTTTTCAGACTACAATGGAGTATGACGTTTTACTAGCACTCGAATTGAAGTGAGGTTGAAATCCACTCACAAGCAGCAATGTGGACTCAGGAATACTCCAATATAAAGTGCCTCTGACGGAAGGGCTGCCACTCAGCCTCTCTCTGACACCAGTTCCCTGGAGTGAATAGCTGGAGAAATCCTTTCCCCCTTTAACAAACTGAAAATAGCAACCAAAAAGCACTATTTATTCCTTTTTAAAAAGGAGGTCAAAACCAATGGAAACAGTGAAAGTTACTATCCCTCCACTTACAGAATTTTTACTCATTGAGCTACTATTGTACAGCTAAGCATATTTTAGAGTCAGAAAAGTAGAAGTATCAAAAAGGTCTGTAAAAGAAATGCTGTCTGCCACAGACTAAGAGAATGAAATAATTTGCAACATTTTAGAACATAGGTATAAATTTAACAAATGGTATAGTGATCAGCTGAACAGCTGAACTGTAAGTACTTCTAACAGTATACATTTGAATCACAAGCTTAAACAGTAAATCTGCAACTTTGTAAAAAAAAAGTGTATAAAAATTAAGTTAAACTGCATTCGCTATTTGCCTCTGTCCTAAAGAGTATGCAGCTTTGAGTAGGACAGCACCTGTAGTTTCAGAATTAAGTCAGTATTATTTTGGAGTTAAAGCAGATCACAAATTGGATGACGGGAGAAATTACAGTAGTACAGACCTTAAAACTACATGCATCCTCCACAGTAACGAAAATGTTGCACCTTTTCTGAATTACTACACCAGTATCTATTTGTTGATCTATTCTGACTAAACAACCAGGATACCAGGCAGAGTTCTACCAAAATATTTACAGGCAATAAGTGTTTATAGCAACAGTATAAAAGGTGAAAGTGAACTCATGGCATATTTACTAAGAAAAATGTTGTAAAACAACTACAGTAAGTCTCAAACAGTATGCCTGAAGAGTTCTGCAAGCCACACTTTCAAAGGACCACCAGCTTATCTGAAGTCATTTTTCTTATAGTTGGCATAATTAACAAACTTCTTCAGTGCAAACTTTACCCTTTAAGTTTGATTTTGGGGGTGAGAAGCAAAGAGATCTTCTCTCTGTTCTTCTCAACGTTTGTCTCAACTCCATAATCCTTAAAAAGTAATTCTGCTTTCACATACACACATTGTTGCCATCAGTTTATTCTTCTAGTTTTCCAACTTAACTTATAATTTTATAATTTTAAGAAAAAAATTCCAAGGTCTGGAAAGACTACAGCTACAAAAGAAGAAATTTTTGATACCTCCTGCAGTCACTGGGTAATTTAAATACCAGGTTTCTCAGATGAAAATATACTTTAGACAGCTCAAGTCTTTAGTAAAATTCGTGTATGGACATGAATTTAAAAAATTATGAAGTTGTTACATATGCTTATGCTCTGTCATCATTCGTCTACTTAAAATACGCAAGTAAATAAACTTACAAACTTGTATCTTAAACATTCCTGATTTTACTCCTTTCAGATATTCATAAAAATCCTGAGATAACTAAGAGAGTTTCTCTTACCAACAAGGAGTCCAGCAGCTGTCCTCTGCACTTGCTTTTGTTACCATGAGTTGGCGAGGCAGTCCTTAATAACTGAGACCCTATCTACAAGGGAAGTCCTGACAAATGAACTATTTTGTCTAAAATCTAAAAAAAGTCTCCAAGGGCTTTTCAAACTGTTATCAAAAGATTAACATATCAAAGAAAATTTGGCACTGCTTGGAATGTCTTCCCCCCCCCCCTTCCCTCCCTCCAGTGTGGCCGAACAATTGCGACTGCGGCCGGGGCTGCGCTTCCAGGCATCAGCCGCCCGGTCCAGCTCCTTCTATTCAAACCACAAATGCCGCACCAGGAGCCTGCCGACAGTTTCAGGTCTATGCACGAGTCCTGATATTATCTGTCCAGCTAAAAAGTATATATGCTTCTGCCCAAACCCTTCCTTGTATTTACAGCCGCTGTGAGTGAAGACAACATTCATTTTGAGGAGCTAACCGATGATAAAGGTGGCAGTTAAGAAATACGTGCATTTCTCACTCTCAGCATTTTACAGTTTATCACAGAGCGTAATGAAGCAATCACATACACCAAATTAGACAACCTTTAGAGATCAAGTGCTACAAAGCTAAAAAAGGGAACTCGGTCAGTCTCCAAATGTCACAGAAACAAGTTACTTTTCTGTACAATGCAATGATAAACCAGCACTGCTTTGGTAAGAACACAAAGGGCAAATGAAAAGATCTAGCAAGGCACACAGGAAAAGCAATATACATGCATGAGAGGCAAAATTCAAAAGCCACCTATGTGCAAAGATTAATACGAGTCAATCTTCCTCAGCTCCCTACATAATCACCTTCATTAAATAAACCAAGCATCGTAAACTTCTACAGGAAGAGAACTAAGACCCAAAAAAACTGACTGACCTGTCTAGAAAGAGATCATGGTATAGATCAAATATGAATCATGTTCTTGAAATCTGATCTAGTGTCTAAGTGACCCATCTGGCTCTCCTAGGTCCAAAAGAATCCATTATAGTATCTTTAAGGGCTACTGAAGGACTAAAAATCTCTTTCCAGAACTTACTTACAACAAATATATCCTCCATTAAGAGACAGTTTACAGCTATGAAGTTGAAAATTAAGTTTCTAAATAGCTTGATGTCATTACAAGTCTTTCAGATTTCTGAATTAAAAAATATCTTCAACATTCATTCTTAACTGCAGGTACTGCCTGTTGCATAGCAGACAGACATCATCTTCAACTGTATCCTCACTAGCTGTCGAAACACAGCAAAATCATGTTTTGTTCTGGAACTAGAAAGCAAATCATTATTTCAGTCACTCAGAAATTAAACATTCCTGTACTTTAGAGCCATACTTCCAACCCCTTACCCCAAGAAGGCATCAACCTCACAAGGTAATAGACCTTACAAAGGCAACGTTTACCACCAGGGCTTATTCTTGTTTCAGTAACTCACGATTCCCACACACTGAGAGCAGTTACCAAACAGTCTGGGTTTTCCACGGTAAAGGTTTTCAGCCTTCATGCAATGGACCTACAGGAGGTAAGCAATTGCTTTACATATACAAAACACCAACTAATGCTCAATCTCTGCCATACCGGCAGCTGTGAAACTAAAAACTGAAGTAGTACTCAAACTAGAAGAGCAGTAACAGGCCAGGGAGAGGTATGAATGTATCTTCTGAGAATACATTCAGTTTCAAAATACACCCAATTTCTTAGGAAAGATGGAAACACAGCCTTGGCTACAGTTGACCATTACCAGAAGAGCATGGCAGCCAGGTTTACAAAGCCATTGACAGAGGAAAAGTATATTCTTTTGCCCTGCCACAGAAGCCAGCTTTCCACATCACCCTACAAGGGCTGTGTATCAGGTGCTGCATGGGAGCACTTGGCACATCCAAGGAGATGGTGCTTTGGAAAACAGTTCTGCACTTGTACCTCAGGCCAAATGCCAAAAGATGTTCTGAACATTAAGTGCATTTCAAAATTTGAATGTTGTAATACGCCAATACGCATATAAAACAAAGTAGCTCTTCTCTAACTACTACCAGTAAAAAACAATGAAAATGCTCATTCAAAATTATTCCAGAAAGATTAAGAACTTTTTTCCCCCCAGACCACAGAAGTATTTCTCAGCAAGAAAAGAAAAAAAAAAAAAAAAAAACACAATTCTGTTCTTCACCCAAGATCTCCCTTGCTGTCCTGCTAATGAGACCTCCTGGTCTACACAACACTTGGCAGCACTGCCCATGCAAAGTTGCATTCAATACATCGTTTTCAATGCACGCGTAATACTTAACCTGATGTCAGAATTGCCAGCAGCCAAAGAAAGAAGTTCTAGGTATAGCTTAAGAGACCACACTCTAGAAAAAGCAAACTTTTAAATGGAGCTATAAAAATAGAAGGAAAAGTCTTATCAGGTATTACTACTTGAGCTTGCAGCTCCTGCTCATGTCAATTGCCAATGAGTTTCACACACAATACCAGAAAAGCTGAATCTACTTGCTGCTTTCAAAATAGACTGGCAGAACCTGGAGTCACTCAAAATGAAAAAAGGACCATTTTTAAATAGACTTGCAATTAAAAAAGCTAGGAGTCTATTTTAAAGGCTCTAAGAATGCCCTGCTAAAATCCACATTATGACATCTTGTCTCCAAACAGTCTGTTCTCAGGATTCATCATCTCACGCTCAGTCTCAGCTCCTCCTCAAAGGAAAGGAGTTTCCAAAGTTCCTTTTTATGGATTCTCAGAGTCTTCAAGGAGCTTCTGTACACAGGTGTGCCTGCACTCAGCATTTTTGCTTCTCTGATGTACACCACCGTTGCAGTGACAACTTCCACGTAGTATCTAGGACCACAGCCATGATTTGTGGCAGAAGAGATTACACTACACCCTGGACTCAGGGGGATCCATACATCTGAGCTGCAGCACAATGCCAGAGACTTCTCGCACCACCCGGCAAGCCTGACGCCATGCGCGAGAGCCTGTCTTTGCCTGCTCCCTAAACACAAAAGCCACGTCATTTAAAGACCAAGTCAAAACTGAAACAGATCTCTTTATACCCGATATACAACTTAGCCAAAAGTCTGGGGATATCACTTTTTTGTGACCATAAAAAACAAAGGTTATCCCATTTTATTTCCACATATGCTATGATAAGCTTACATGTGTCGTTTAAATTTCTTTATAAAGCTTTCAGTGTTATTTTAACATATCAATATTTTTACAAGTTTGTAGTCCACATTACAAACACAAAAGATACTCTCCTTGAGAGGCACCTTCAATCTGAAAAAATGCATCTTACAGGAATGGAAGCTGATGCGATTTACAGTTCTCCAGTAGCTTGCAGCTGAACCCTTAAATACGAAGTTATCCACATAATGTGCAACAAATGTTTGGGTAAGACACACAACCCAAAAGAACTATGGAAGATCAAAAATCTTCCAGGTATATTTTGAAAAGAGTTAAGGTTATAATTTGTACTACAAACAAAGCTTAACACTTTAGTCAACTAACCAAGCTCTAACAATAAGAATGACATAATAGTTTAATGAATACATGGAAATTTTACAAGTACACGAGCTAAATTTTAACAAAGCCCTCCACTCAATACCTATTTTATCACTTCCCATCTTGAGCTTTCTGTTATAATACAAGCTTTTGTTTCTGTGTTTAGGCTTAAGGAAGACCATTGTATCCAACAATCACCAAACCAAAATTGTATTTACATTTGTAGAGTGTATTCTTTGTAAAGTATACTTTTTGCAGGCTGTAATAGCAATTGCAATGTTTAAAGTAGAATACATGCTACATTAAGGAAAGATAACTCAACATCTAACAATAAACTCAATATCATAATTCATCACGATAGCAAAGTACTATAGCCAATACTATACTCAAAATTTACTTTCTAACTGGTCTTCAGATCATTATTTTCAAACCACTCAAAATTTTGTTACTAATGTAACAGCACATGCACAAGTTGAAGACATGTTAGAAGAGAATTTAGGAAAGCAATTGGTCATATCAAGGACAACTAGTCAAGCACTTCACCACCGAACCTTCCCGGCATCTCATTTGTCTTACCTAAGGAGCAGCTATTTACACTAATGAAAATTTTCAACTGATAAATCAAGCACCAAAAGTCAAAACTGCCTAAAGCTTGTTCCCACTCTCAGGCACAGAGAAACACAGTCTTTCCTTGTTTCCTTTTTAGATTTCTGGATCTCCTACCTGGCTGCCATGAGGGAAAGACGACCTGTCCCACAGTCAGGGAATCCAATAAAGCATACATTTATTTTAGATGCTTATTGTTTCATTCCTCTCTTGGAAGAGTATACCAGACATTTGGGTTAGAATTCACAGACTTTGACAACAGGGACAATGAAATGTTCTATTTGTTCTTGGAAAAGAAAGTTAAACTGTCTCAAATACCTTGAGTAAGGCATGGCGCCATTACAACCAGAGTGAGTTTTCAATAGCTGAGCACTGAAGCTCCTTCCAAAAAGACTTTCCTTTCTCGCATGAGGCATGAACTTTACTCAGTCCTTCTATTTCATTAAATAACCAAGACTATTATGGTTAGATAATGGAGATGGCAAAGATGCCCCATCCCAGCATCAAGAGAACTGAAAGTATTCTAGCATAGAACTTGGAGTCTTAAGACCCAGATCCAGCAACAATGGGTCCTTTCAAGGAAGCATTTCCCCTTAGGGGCTGTGCCAAGAGCCCAACCTTTCCTGTGTGGCTGCCGCCTTATTGTGCAATGTAGAATATCTGCTTCCTGGGATATATTTGCCTTTGTAGTATGGATGCTCAGTAAAAGGAGGCAATGACTTTTTTTCCTCTTCCTCTAAATTCTTGGAAAATATTTTTGAGGTTAACATAAGAACATTTGAATCAAATTTTTGTTTGCCTACAAGGAGATCATCAGGCACAACCAGATTAATCACAAGAGATAAACTTTCCTCTAAAGTTTTGACATTTAACTTTTGTTTCCTCAAAAGCAAATATAGTTGGTGTACAGCTATGACTACAGCATAGTTCGAGAACCAGTCATACTCATCATAAGCAAGCAATCTGCTTTAGCATCTTTCGTTCCTCTCCCATCATAAGTATGACTTTGTACCTTTTGTTGCTTTCAGCCAAGCATTGAGACAAAGCAGCAGTATTTCTTCACACTTTCCTAAAGTCATGATGTAAAACTTAAAGATTCTTAAAGTCCAACTATGTGACTGCTAAATGCACACACATAGAGTATCTTCCAGATTAACAGAAAGAGCAACAAATTGTACTCACTTAGAATCATAGAATCATTATGGT